GGGGTGACCTCAGGGAGCCCCTTACCACGAGGAAGCCCCAGGGTGAGAGCTCAGCTCCGTGCCACCAACGTGTGAGCACAGCTGAGCCCACCAGCACGTGGGGCTGGGGGCACCACACCACGGGCTCCTGGTTTCTCCCTGGCTGCAGGAAGAAGCTGGGGATGTGCCGAGGGGAGGAGAGGACAGACTTGCAGGGAGGGGAGGGAATGCCAGACCTCCAGCCATAGGAAACTAAGGTTCATTAGTGCCACAACTCGATGGAGGAGCCCGGGCTTCAAGCTGAGAGCGTCCCTTGAAGCTGCGTCTGGGGGGACCCTTTGATTTGGTTAATTAGACACAAAGTTTTTCTGTGCTGTGGGAGGCCGGGTATGTGCTGAGGAGCAGCACAGCAACCTGGGTTTACTAATGAGATAATTTATTGTGGCTGTCTGAGAAGGCTGAGTGTACACAACTCCACCCGCGCACATGCCACCCACCCCAAGCCCTCTGCTCCCAGCTGGAGAGTCCTCAGCGCTGGGGCCGGGAGCACCGGCTGTTCTGCACAGGGCGCTGCATGGGGAGCTGTCCTCCCCTCGGGGCACCTCTGCAGCACGGCCCCGTTTGTGCCTAAATATCCCCACTACACTTCTCGCTGCTTGCCTGGCCAAACTGCCCAGCTCCCCTATTTTTCAGCCTAAATGTGATCTTTGATGGAATCAATTCAGTAGCTCTGTCTCTGGCTGCTTCCCCTGCTCCAGAAGATCCCTCCTTACCTAGTTCAAGCATTAGGGCTTGCCTACATTTGAGCATTAGTTCTGGAGTAAGGGACATACACATCTGAAAGGCAGCAGAGAATTCCTAAAGTGTGCTGGGAAGATTTACCCAAACCCAGTCATTTTGGAATAACCTGGTGCACTGACCACTCTTTATGTCCCCTCCTGATGGCAGCAGGATCAGGTAAGACAAGATTTGTAAAAAGCAGGTCTGTTTTTTCCAACTGCTCTCCCCACCGTTGCTCTAAAAGCAGATAGTGATCTCCTCCTTCAGACTTTGCCTCACTTAAATCCTCTCGATGTCACAAAGAGACACAGGAATTCCCCACGTGTTGGGGTTGCAGGGGCTTATGTCACAGGTAAGGAATGCAACACCTGGCCCCCTCGGGTCCCCTGCCCCTCCAGAGGGTGACACAGCCCATCTGCCTTTACCAGATCCACGGGGTGTTTGCTCAGGGGAGCAGGGCCACCCACAAGTGACACGTTTCCACAGAAGCCTCTCCCTGCCACACTGCAGAGCATCCCTGCCCCGTCCCTGCCCCGTCCCTGCCCAGCAGAAGCCACCAGGAGATGCTGGCCACGGAGCCTGCTGCCTCCCCAGCTGCAGGTTTGTGCTTGGAGAACCCTAATTGCTGCATGCAGGGGCAGATCTGGGCAGTGCTCTGGGTGTACCTGAATTGAAGTTATTTAGGTTAACAGCAAATTGCACGGGATGGTTGCTCGGGGATCTGGGCAAACTATTCAAAGCAGAAGAAAGCGTCTGATGAATTAGCCAATATTTTTGTTTGTGAACAATCCCCCCTCAAAAAAAAAAAAAAAAAAAAAAAAAAAGTGTTTGCTACTCGAAATGACTGCATGAATCATTCCTGACTGGATGTGTTGCAGTCCCTGGGTTTCTCAGGTCCTGCTGTTGTTCTCATCTTTGAGCTCTGGCTACTCCTGGTTCTGCTGGGGCCATTCCTGGTTCCAGGCTCCCAAGCCCACAGAGCTTTCAGGTCACATGACTTTTTATCCTATAAAGTTTTTTTTGCAAGGAGAAGTTGCAACTGAATAATCATAAATGAGTAAATAGATAACTAAATTAATAATAATACAGGGAGGTTGCTGCTGCTCAAAGGAATTCACAGATTTTCCATGATCAAAGGGGCAGGTTTCCTGCAGTCCATTGCCCCAGAGGGATAACAAAGCAGCAGGATGAGGTGGGTGACACTCATGGCCTGGTGGCTGCAGCCTGGCAGGCAGCCCTGCCTCACACTGGGTGCCACGGGCTCTGAGCCCACTCTCCCTGCACAGACCTCTTGCTCTCTGCTCCCTCAGCCTCTTTGGAGCCAAAACACAACGCTGTGAAATGAAGTGACTGTGCTGCAAGAGATGAGAAAAGAGAGGAAGAAAAAGCACAGTGTCTAACCAGAGGAGCTGCAGATGACCAGATGTGACTGCAAGGGAAGGGAACTAAGGCACTACAGAATGCTGTTTCAGCTTTCATGTCTTGTGCTCCCAGGATCTACATGCCATTTCTTGGATGTGGTTTGCCCCGAGGGCAATCTCAACAGCTGTGAAATTTCAGCAGATGAACAATGTAGTTTTCAATAAATTTCACAAAGCAAACGAAAGGGTTTTAACTCATTCATGCTAGCCCACTTTTGGTCTGTAAAACCATTCACACCATGAGTGTTTCCTGTTTGAACCTCAGGGCCTGACTGCTGGAGCACACCTGAGCTAGACTGCTCTGCTCTGGGTTTCCAGAGGGCTCTTCCCCATCCTAACAGGCTTCCCTCAGCCATGCCCATGGGTCCCAGCAGGTGTAGGTATGTGTCTGCATTGATCTATTCTATTTAAACCCAATCTGGTGACCCACTGGTGGAGGAGAGTACCAGATGTGGAATGTGGATGCCTTCATCTCCTGGATGAGGAAAATGAATGTGGTAGAAAAAGAAGGTTCCCCGTGGCAGCTGCATCTCAGAAGTTCTCAGTCTCCTTTGTACCCAGAAGCAGAGATTGTGCACTCAGAGGCATGTTCTGATCCCAGGCTGATGTCATTAGCTCTAACTTGAAGAAGAGCTTTTGTGTCCCAAAACACCCCTGATGTATCCTTACACCAGAAGGATGACAATTCATGCAAGCTCTGAGAATTCACCTGCTAAATACAGGACAAGATGGCAAAGCAGAGCCCAGACATTTTTGTTTTGTTTTCTTCACATCTGCAGAGCAAAAACACCAGTGCAGGTTGGTTTGCTGTGTGTCTGCAGGATCTGAGCAAGGAGACACTGTCCA